TTTCGATTGTCCTTTAATTGGAAAAAACTCCTTTACCCCTCGCGGGGACGGAAAAAAAAGGTGTGACACTCGTACTTTGGTTTTGTCATAAATCTTATCCACCCCTATTTATTTACAAAAATAAATACAACAATAACAACAAACCCAGTTTGATCCCAACAGGTGGGGTCTGAGAAGGGTAGTCTGTAAGCAGACCTTACCCCTACCTAGTGCAGGTAGAGGGGCTGTTTCCAATAGACCTTCGGCTCAGGAAGGACAAGAAGAAGAAGTGGAAAGCAAGGAAGGAAGAGAAAAAAAAGGGGAGGGGGAGGGGGAGGATAAAAAATAAGTAGTGCCAAATAATAGCAGCAGGGAATACAATACCTGAGGCGAACACAACCACATAACGTAATAGAAATCTAAGAATATGATGGGACATGCATGCTACTAAGACTATCAGTGAACAACTATAAACTACCTACTAACCTTCTACCTTAATCATTGACCTCCATACCCTCCTATCAAGGGTCATGTCCTCAGTGAGCTGAAGCAACGCCATGTCGTGTATAATCACCTCTCCCCAGTACTTCTTAGGCCTACCTCGACCTCTTCTCAAACTCTCCATGGCCAACCTCTCATACCTCCTGACAGGAGCATCAATGTTTCTTCTCTTAACATGTCCAAACCATCTCAGCCTCGTCTCTCGCATCTTGTCCTCCACGGAGGCTACTCCCACTCTATCCCAAATAGCTTCATTCTTTATCCTATCTCTCCTGGTACACCCACACATCCATCTCAACATCCTCATCTCTGCTACTCTCATCTTCTGCAGGTAGGAGTTCTTGACTGGCCAACACTCAGCCCCATACAACATAGCCGGTCAAACCACCGCTCGATAAAACTTACCCTTAAGTCTTAGCGACACATTCCTATCACACAAAACACCAGAAGCGAGCCTCCACTTCATCCATCTCGCTCCGATGTGATGTGCGACATCTTCGTCAATCTCCCTGTTACCCTGGATAATAGACTCGAGATACTTAAAGCTCACTCTCTTAGGGATAACTTGAGCATCAAGCTTAACCTCTACATCTGCATCATGGGTCCCGCACTTCAAGTATTCTGTTTTGGTTCTACTCAGTTTGAAACCTTTAGACTCCAAGGTCTATCTCCAAACCTCCAACCTCGCGTTAACTCCGCTACGCGTCTCGTCAATCAACACTATATCATCGGCAAATAGCATGCACCAAGGTACCTCCCCTTGGATGTGTCGCGACAGTACATCCATCGCCAAGGAAAATAAAAATAGGCTAAGAGCCGATCCCTGGTACAACCCCATCACCACAGGGAAATAATCCGAGTCACCCCCCACAGTCTTCACCCGAGTCTTAGCATCATCATACATATCCTTAATCACCCTAATGTACGCTACCAGAACGCCACTGACCTCCAAACACTTCCACAGGACCTCCCTCGGTACTTTATCGTATGCTTTCTCAAGGTCAATAAACACCATATGCAAATCATTCTTCCTCTCCCTGTACTGCTCCACTAATCTCCTTACCGGATGAATCGCTTCCGTAGTCGAACGCCCTACATGAATCCAAACCGATTCTCGAAAATAGACACGCACCTCCTCACCCTGGCCTCCACTACCCTCTCCCAAACCTTCATAGTGTGACTCAACAACTTGATACCCCTATAATTGTTGCAATTTTGGACATCACCCTTGTTCTTGTAAAGCGGAACCATAGTACTCCACCTCCATTCTTCGGGCATCTTCTTTGTCTTAAAAATAACATAAATAGCCCAGTGAGCCACTCCAAACCTACCCGCCCCGCACTTTTCCAGAATTCCACCGGAATTTCGTCTGGCCCCGTCGCTCTACCCCTGCATATCTTACGCATCGCCCCTTCCACCTCCTCTACCGTAATCCGCCTACAATACCCAAAATTCCGCTGACTCTCGAAGTGCTCCAACTCTCCCAGCACAATGTGTCTATCCCCCTCCTCATTCAATATTTTATGGAAGTATGTCTGCCATCTTCTCCTAATAAGTGCCTCGTCTATCAACACTTTGCCATCCTCGTCCTTGATGCATTTGACTTGGTCTAAGTCGCGGGCTTTCCTCTCTCTCACCTTGGCCAACCGGTACAACCTCTTGTCCCCGCCTTTGCCCTCGAGCTCAACTGAACAAATTAGCTTTAATCTACTAATTGCCTGCCAGGCTGCCACAACTTATTCAATTGGCTAGCAATATTAGATGATTAGGTACAATAAGACCTCTCTATAACAACCACCTTATACAATAATTTGTTGTTTTAAAAGTTAATTTTGTTTTTTGAAATTAATTTTTGCTATATTTTATCTATTTATAACATCCTTTTATATATAACAACTATAACAATATGCTTTTTATAAAATTACCCCCCATAATATCCATAGTCTTTTCTTGGGTACATTTTATAGAAATAAATATCTTAAATTATCAATAATAGGTATAGAGATTTCGACCAAATATTCTGAAACTATAATACATCACTTAGAACATAGAATATTTCGTGGTTACATACTTTCATAATTAAATTTTATTCTTGTTGAAAGATCTGCACATATATTTCTATTCCATTGGACAAAAAAATTTCATCGTGTATTGGATACCCTTTGAATGAAAGTTTGCGCAAATCTTTGTCAATTCAAGCGTTATGTCGTCATCAAGGAATTAGAGTCAAAACGACCTATCATTATGGATTTCTTCTTCAATCTTGAAAGAATTTTTTATTTTCAAGCATTTTTAAAATGTGTGTCTCAGAGTTTAAATCTCGCCACCATTAGTTAGGAGTTTGTTAAAATGTACTCCCTCCGTTTCAATTTATGTGAAACTATTTCCTTTTTAGTCCGTGCCAAAAAGAATGACCTCTTTCCCTATTTGGAAACAATTTACCTNATTTTTGTCCATAACACTTAGATAAAACGTAAACATCAAATGTTATTATAAGTATATAACAACCAATTGCAATAAAAACTACAAAAATGTCGACTGTATTATAATGTCTTTTTGACAGTAGAACCTTTGTAATTATGTGATCTACTGATTTTCGTTTTAAGAAAAAGAACGAAATTTCAGGTTATAACCAAAAAACGAAGTAATCGACAGTGGTTTTTTCTTTGTCTCCAAAGCAAAGTTTTAAAGATCGAGATTCTACATAGATTATTTGCTGGCCTTAGCATTTTATAGAAGAATCTTTATCATCCTACCTAAAAGGGATAACCAAATTTTCAATCTTTTGTTTCTTAACTAGTTAACATTAATGAGTTAAAATAAGCTAATTAATGTAAAGTTTAAAATGTACCTCAAACAATAGTGCACGCAGAACATTGTGCACCGAGTACTACAGTGCCCAAAATTTGTCTACAGAATACTTTAGTTTAAATTCTAAAATTTCCCCATTCATGACTAATGAATCAATGTTGGGAATTGATTCAAAAGTCTAGGTTTTTAAGTTTAATGCCTAGGATAGGTTATTTATCGTAAGTTGAATTAAGTCTTTTACTAGAGTTGAAAAAGTCTTTTGTTAGGTTGTTAATTTTTTGATTTTTTTTGCTATTTTTATGGTGTTTTTCCTAGTGGTTAGTCATGTGGGAGTCTTTTGGATAAGCTTCATCTTTATGAGTTTGTAAGACTATAAAAGATAGACTCATCCAGTTAATATAGCACGCTATTCTACAAAGAAATTCATTCATCTTCCTTGCGTAACTCTAAGTTTTCTAGTTAAAGAATATCTCTTTTTTCTCCGTTGTGGTATTAAAGCTTGCTTTCGGTCTTTGACCGGGCGTTAAAGAGATTAAGAAACACGTGAGAGAGTGAAATACAAGAAGAAGAGAAAAGTATGACAGCAAATGGCATGTCCTCGTCTTCACAACCGCTCATACCCATCTTCAATGGCGAGAAGTACGAGTTTTGGAGTATCAAGATGAAGACCTTGTTTAGGTCTCAAGAATTGTGGAACTTAGTCAAAGATGGGTTCTTTGATATAGAAGAGCCGGATGCAGAGGAAGAGAGAAAATTAAAAGAAATAAGAAAGAAGTAAGCCAAAACTTTGTTCTTTATTCAACAAGCTGTTCATGAAACAATTTTCTCAAGAATTGCAGCAAATGCTACCTCAAGAAATGCTTGGCTTATTTTGAAAATGGAGTTCCAAGGTTCCTTAAAAGTAATTACTGTGAAACTTCAGTCTCTTAGTCGTGGCTTTGAAACATTCTTCATGAAAAATAATAAATCTGTGCAAGATTTTTTGTCAAGAGTTAGTGAATTTGTAAGTCAAATGAAATCCTATGGTGAAGAGGCAGGTGATGAAATTGTAGTTTCAAAAGTTTTAAGAATTTTACCTCCTAATGGGTTCTTTGCAATCTCATGAATCACGGATGAACAAGTCAATTGAGAAGACTGAAGAACAAGCTTTTCAACTGAAGGAAGAGCCTCCAAATCAGAATGAGAAGTCACTGGAACAAGGAGCACATGGACGTGGTAGAGGCTAGCACTTTTAAAGGCAGAGGACATGATATAGGCAGAAGCCAATCTGGATGGATAAATAGCCGCAAAGGTATAGTGTAATATTATAATTGTCACATATTGACCGTGTAGAAGGTAAATTCTGGTACAAAAATAAGCAAGCTGGTTATGCCGAGGAAGAGGAAGAAGAAAGCATGTTTTTCATGGCTCACTCTACCACCATAGAACATAAGATTGGTGTTTGGTTTGTGGATAGTGGCTGCTCCCATCATATGACTGGTGAAAGAACAATATTTAAAGAGTTAGATGAGACAAAAATAGGCAAACTTGGCTTGGGGATAATAAGGAAATCCAAGTCGAAGGTGAAGGTACTGTTGCTATCCAAACTAGTCAAGGTAAAGTGAAACTTATCCAAAATATTTTATTTGATCCTAATTTGGCACATAACCAGCTAAGTGTAGGGCAATTGTTGAATGGTGATTTCTCTGTCTTGTTTGATGATGGCTCATGTATTGTTAAGAATAAATAGTCAGGTCAAATCTTAGCAAATATTCGTATGACAGAGAACAAAATGTTTCACACTTGAAGTTTCAAAAATGGAACAAGCCTTAGTTGTTAGTGAGAAAAATCTAAGTTGTGGCATTTGTGTTATCGATATCTGGATATGAATGGATTGAGAATGCTGAGCCAATATAAGATGGTTCATGATTTGCCAAATATAGGATCTTTATTGAAAATATATGTGAAGGCTGTATATATGGCAAGAAATTATAGAAAATCTTTTCCTGTAGGAAGATCTTGGAGAGCCACTAGTTGTCTTAAACTTATTTGTTCAGATTTGTGATGTCCTATGACCATAGAATCTCTTGCTAGTTCTTGATTTTTTTGTTATTAACCGATGATTACAGTTCGATGAGTTGGGTATATCTTTTGAAACGCAAATTAGAAACTTTTGCAAGCTTCAAAAGATTCAAGGCATTAGTTGAAAACCAAGTTGGTAACAAAGTTAAGGTTCTTCGTACTGACAGAGGAGATGAATTTTTATCACACGATTTTTAGTTATTTTTTGAAGAAAATGGCATTCACAAGAAATTGACTGCACTTTACACTTTTGGAGCAAAATGAGATTACCAAGCGGAAGAACTGAACTGTGATGGAGATGGCCAGGAGCATGTTGAAGAGTAAAGATCCGTCAAATCAGTTTTAGGCTGAGGCTGTTCTCTCCAACAAAAGCAGTCAGGGGTCGAACACCTTTTGAAATCTAAAAGGTAGAAAGCCGTGGGCAAGTCATGTAAGAATTGTTGGTTGTATTGCATATTGTTGCACCTTGTTTTACACAAGTCAAAATAAAGTACAACTTACGGTACTCTACAAGATTAATTGGTGTTTAGAGTTAGCCAACTAGTATTTAAGGTATATTAGGACACCTATATTACACTATGTAATGTAAATTTGATTATGACCATTGACATTCTAGGTAAGGGTTCAAGTTATTTCGAGGGGAAGGTATTAGTGATGACGTCCAAAACACACCTCCATAAGGGATGTGCTACGGTCGTATGTAATATAATTTACCCAACTATGAGTCGGGGTCGAATCCCACAGGGAGCTATGAAGCATTTTAGTTGACTCAATTGCTAAATAATCTAAGTTGAACAAAGAGGGATAAATATAATTGGATTTTGTGGATATTAATTAATGAATTAGATTCAACTAACTAACAACAAACTAAATTATAAGTCGAGAATAACTTAAGAAATTTATGGATGATAAAAAAGCCTAAGGTAGAGAATCCCCCAATTGCCGGGCTAACTCTGAGCTAAATCTTGAAACTTTGTGTGACATTATTCTATCAACCTTGGACCTAAAGTTGTTCGCTAGAGTTTCCCAACTGCTAATGACACTATTCTTGAACTATTTTTTCCAAAATAATCAAGATAATAAACTCGTCCAATTCTAGGTCACACGTCGAATCATGATGTCCCCATAACAATTCTAATTCGGGTTAAGTAATTCCTTAATTTAACCCGAAGTACTGTTATTTGACTGACCCAACCTTGTCAATTTTTTCCAAGAATAACAAGAAATAGGGCATAAACAATTGCGAGCTCGAACAATTGAATTCATTAAAACCGAAGCCAAACAAATAAAATAAGTATCAACGATTCAGGAATATTTACTCAAAAATGTCCAACAACGGGTTCATCAATACCCTAGATAGGAAAATTAGCTACTCATGTTTGTACTAAAAAACATAATGACTATTCTCAAAACAATCTCCATAATAAACAAAAAATAAGAAAAATTGAGAGAAACTCTTCAAATCTTCGATTCCCTTGCTTGCTTCGAAAGTAATGTTCTCTGCTTTTCAGGTTGAGATAGCAGCTGGGGAAGCGAAAAGAAGCTTTTATATCGTGTCAAATTTGCTCCAAAGACCAAAATATCCTTATAATTTTTGCCTTCTGCTCGTGCGCCAGGCTCACGCCGTGCGCGCACCGCTCTGTATTTGACTTGTCCAAATGAGCGCACACTGAGCGCACATTACAGGAAAAAATGCATTGTTTTTGCACTTTGTCCATTTTTTTAGTTTGAGCAGATTTTCGTCCCAAAATTTCAAAAAATTCCTTCAACTCGTCTTTCAACTCCCTATCAACCAAAGAGCATCAATTAGACACAATTTTGGTGAGTTTTAACCACTAAACTATTCAAGAACACTTGAGAATGAGGTTAAACTACTATCAAAATATACAGAATTATGTGGAATCATCAGTTAGGTATCCCTTAAGATCCAGGAAATGTGGTTCTGGTGGACTCGATCAAATAAGAGAGGGAAGGTTCAAAAGAATGATTAGTTATTTTACAAAGAATTTCTATCAAAGTGTAGCCAATGCAATTCTCATGTATTGAATAAATATTCAAAGCATGGCCATTTCATTTGTGATAAAATATATACAATAGGATATGCAAAGTAAATTAATAAAGAAAAATCTTTTTGGAGTTTAATTGAAAGAATTGGGTTCGAAATAAGATATAAAGGAAACCTCATGTTATAATTATAGCCGTGTGATTTAACTATACAAGATAAATCTTAATTGGATACATATAAGAAAATGGTAAAGAATTAGTTTTTGAATAAAGTAACCGACAATTAACTTAAAACAAAATAATCAAACAAAGTAAGAAGAGTTGTCATAGATAAGGGAACTTCAGAAAGAAATTATCCACAAAGAATCTTACATGTGACAATGGAGTGATTAAATCAAATAAGGAATGTGTATTAATAATTGAGATGTTCTAAAAGAGTTTGAATAAATTTAAAGAAGTTAATTTATAATTAAAATCAAATAATCACTACAATGGATTGTCTTACATGCACAAGAAAGACTGTGAATAAATAAATAAATAATGGAGAGAATTATCTTCAAAAATGAGTAGGTGTTTTTCAATTGACTAAAATACTTGACTAAATGTGTAAAAAAAATAAGCGTAAAAGGTTTGTCAAGAGTGTATGAGTATAAAGGAATATTGATTTTTATGACAAAAGAAAAGAAAAGATCATATAAGAAAGACCTTAGAGTTTGGTTCGTAAGAATTGGATAAATGAATAAATAACAATAAAATGCATATGTAGACAATCAAATAAATATACAAAGAAGCTAGGAAGATTATAAACCCTGTACAAGAATATCTTAAAATATAACTCACGGAGAATGTTGGCAATTATCGTGTTAGACCCAAATGGATGCAGCAATTGATTTAATCCTAAATATGATAGACTCAATTAATTATAATTAAATACAAAGGTTATTTAAAATGAGTTAATCAATCAAACTAGCTACTTATATAAGTTAATTGATCACTCCAATTAAGAGGGCGTGTCCACTAGGCTGTCACGACCCAAAACCCAACCTGTCGCGATGACGCCTATCATGGTACTAGGCGAGCCAACTACTCAGACATTTCCAACACTTTTAATCTTCGAAATATACTAGGACGGTTTAAATAAATAAAAATCTCGTAAAAAGGGATAGGATATTATAACTCAATATAAAGTTTTTCCAAAACCGGTGTGTCAGTGAGTACATGAGTATCTACATAATGACATAGTCTGGTACACTGTCTAGAAAGTAGAACTGAATAATTAAACTGAAAGATAGTGGGAGGAGAGTCAAGGTCTGCGGATGCCAAAGCAGCTACCTCGATGATCTCAGAGTGTCTGAACTATGCGAGTCAACAACGCCGTGACCAGAAGCACCTGGATCTGCACACGAGATGCAGGGTGTAGCGTGAGTACAACCAACACAATAAGTAACAAATTTAACCTTTGAACTGAAAGTAGTGACGAGTTTGAGTATTACAGCCCACTTACAACATTAACAGTACGGACAATTACAGAAAAATATGACAGTGATATCTGAGAAATTCATAATCTACAAGTAAAGGTACAAGAATTTAGACATGCTTTCAGGTTTTGAAATAAAATTCAACACAGAACAGGGCAGATCCAGCCCAAATACAAATAAACCAGGGCAGATCCAGCCCAAATGTAAATAACTGCTAGCATTGTGCGCACTGTGGATGTGCAGACTCCAGAAGAGCTGATACAACCCAAGCGCTATAATAAGCCAAATCCTGGCATGAATCAGTAAAGCCTGATGCGGCGTGCAGCCCGATCCCATGAATATCACACACAACAGACCCTCAGCCTCACTCAGTCATAAATCTTTCCAGTCTCTCGGGCTCACCAGAATCATGATAATCAGCCCAAACAATGATAATATGATGTATCAGATAAAGGACAACAGAGACTCAGACATATTATGCAAATAATAGCTTTGACTAAGCACAAAATGATAAATTAAGCAAATAATTCAATATGTAACACGACCTCTGTGGATCCAACAGTACTAACACGGAGCCTAAGCAAGATTTCTAACATGACTGGTAGTTTAATTGCTTTAACACATGGTGAAAATACGAGTAAAAGCAAGATTATTCAACTATACAGTTCCACAGAATCGACCAAGTCGCCATTCTTATGGCGCACACCCACATACCCATCTCCTAGCATGTGCGTTACCTCAACAACAATCACATAACACATAATTCAGGATTTCACACCCTCAGAACCAAGTTTAGAAGTCTTACTTACTTCAAACTGTGCAAATCCCTACTCCGACAAGCCCTTGGCTCGCGAAACGGCCTCCGAATGCCTCGAATCTAACTGCAAACAGTTCAATACAATAAATACGAGCTAAAAAAATCAATTCCATAAGAAAATACTAAGTTCTTAATCAAAAATCAAAAAGTCAACTCAAAAGCCGGCCCCCGATCCACGTCTCGAAATTCGATAAAAACTACAAAATTCGGAAGCCCATCCAACCACGAGTCCACCCATACCAAAATGACTCAAATCCGATACCAAAATCTCAATTAAATCCCCAAAATTTGGCCTAAGGACTTTTCTCCATTTCCCCCCAATTGTTCAACCCAAATCACTAATTAAATGATGAAATCAAAGATATAAACATGGAATTTAACCAAAGCTAAGTAAGAATCACTTACCCCAATCACTCCCTTGAAAATCTCTCCAAGAATAACCTCCAACCGAGCTCCCAAAATAAAATTTGTGATATGAACTCAAACCCTTGTTTTTGGGAGGCCGGCCAAAAGACCCCACCTTCATGAATTCGTCGAGGCGTCACAAGAACAATGGGTTTGGTTGGCCAAGGAGAATGAGTACAGGGCCACAATAGGAAAGTTGGAGAAACAAGTCAAAGAACTTCAATTCGAGAATAGCTTGCAAGCCGCGGTGGACAAAGGTGAAAAGAAAAACTAGCCAAAGAAAACGAGGCCCTTCGAGCCCAAATTTAGAAAATGAAAGTAGCGGCAGAAAACCCCGCCCGAAGTACCAAAGATGAAAACTTATAGGTAACCTGAGGCAGAAAGTGAGTGACTATAGTTTTGATTTGAACAAAGCAGAAAGCGAACTAGCCAGGGTTCGAAAGCAATTGGCTAAAAATGCGGATGAACGAGCACGCCTGGTTAAGCAGTTGAAAGAAAAGTACGACAATGAGGTCACGGGATTAAAGAAAAGGGTCGTTGCCGCAGAGAACAAAGTGATCAAGCAGGTGAAAGACTTTAAGGCGGAAAGAGAACATTGTTATACAGCGTTGGCACGATTAGAAATGGATTTACAACAACTTCAAGAGCAGAATCATGCGGTCGAGCAAACGTTAGAAGCCAGGGCCCAGCAGATCGGGCGTTTGTTGCAAGAAAAAGGAGTCATAAGAGAAAGAATTAGAACCATAGCCGATTACATTGTTGTGAAGTGCCTTGCCTGTGAGGATATGACTCGCACCACCTTCTTCGCGGCAGTGAAGACATTTGTTAAACAGATAATGAGTGACTTGGATAGACTTCAAAGGGATCTTGCATATAGGCCCACTGCGAGACCGAATGATGTCCCACGGGTACCAGGAGCATTAATGTA